TCCACAAAAACATGCATTTAAAGTCTTTCAGATTTGTTCGGCTCTTCTGTTATCTTGCAGAATTTGAACTTTCAGCCTAATTAAACTCTGGAAATAGAAGGACTTGGTGTGGCTGAAAATTTTATAGCAGACATGGAAGATGGTGCCTCAACTCCTAAATTGCTGCCATGCAAGGGAACTTGATGATCTTAAGGTCCTTTCCAACCCTGACTCTTCTAGGATTCTATGACATGGGACAGGAGGAATACATGGAGCAAAGGGTACTCTGGCATTACTGTTTGGGAAAAGTGGTTGCGTTTTGCGGAGCGTTTCTCCAGGACAGGGAACGACCTGGGATGCCCTGGAGACATACCTGGGCACCAAGTCAGAGTCATGTGCAAACACATGGTGAGGGACTGACTTGCACTTGGCCCTGACCATTTGCTTTTCCATTTGCACAGCGTGTAGGTTGGTCACTGTGCAGGCAAGTTAAGAGGCTGCCATCTTCCTGTGGCACAAGAGCAAGTTCCTGGGGTGATAAAAGCCATGGAGAGGGCAGTAAGGAAAGCCATGGCTAAACGGGATTTGGAAAACACTAGGGAAGAATGGGGAAAAAAGTTGTAATGTCTGCATTACCTGCATCAAACTGTATGCATCTTTGTGTTGTAAAAAGCTGTGGCAGTGCTCTGCAAAGAATCAGGTCTGCAGTGAAATGGAAGCAGATAGAAATTGGAAGAGATCATGCTACATACTACCGAGGCTTTACCCTTCCAAACATTTACATTCCCTTCCTCATAAACACCAAACTTGCTCAGCACTGCAGGTTATGGTGGACTACGTTCAGGTCTGCGGCAAGCCTGGGCTTTCCAAGTCCATCCCCTATCCTCCAGCATACTTGCTGTGTGATTAGAGAGGCTGGGCTGCGTGTGTTGAACCAGAAGGTCGTGGGGGCCATTCCTGCCAGTGTCCCTGCAGTGCACATCATCCACACTTTTCTCACCAAAGGGCACACTCCCAGAGCCTGATATTTCATATTGCCACGTTGCCATGACCCTCCATGACAAGGAGAAAATTTCAGGCACTTGCCTCACTGGGTTGCAAACCTTTATGAATACTGCAACTAATAGCCTGGGTAAATGGAAGATTAATTTCTATACCACCTGGCAACAAGCTGTGGATTAGGCTGCTGTCCCTCGTGTGGGTTTAATGTTGGAGGAATGGGGCACCCGAGCACCCAGACAATCAGCCTCTTGTTTAAACAATAAGCTTCTCGGTCTTGTTAGCCAACGCTCTTAAATTTTCATTTTATTCCGGTATGCAGGCGTGTGTGATGTGGAGAATTGCTTCAGCACAGAAAGACTGCAAACCTGTTCAATTAAAGGAAATGCTCAGATCCAGCTGTTGGCGTCTGATGAATGCCAGTGCTCCTCGTGGAGTAAACAAGACTGACACACTCCGCCCTTGGAACAGATATGATGATTTGCGCCTTAATTCTTCTGAAAAGGAGCCTTTGTTGGGGAAGGATGGTTGGGGAAAAAGGGAGGAATGCAAAGCTTGGTGCAGAAAATGACCAGTGAGACAAGGTCTTCTGCAGATAACAGTGAGGTCTCTATAGCATAAGCCTAGTAACAAGGCACCATACGATGCACGTACAGTACAAGCTCCTGTTACAGCAATGGAATTGTCTTGTAAATTTAGAGTGCTTTCCTCTCATGAAAAAAACGTGTCACAGAGTAACTTACCCTATACTTTCACCTCCAAAGAACAGGCTAACAGGCATAGCAGTGGTGTGCATGCACCCACCCTATGTGCAGGCCCCTGCTCACATTTGTGTCTGGTTTTTCAGTTGCCTTGGTTTTGGGTGACATGCTGCTGCACTCAGTCGTAGGCGACAGGATTGTCTGTGCAGTATTGGATGGTGAGATGGTTATGCCAGATGTCTTTGTTTGGGTCAGCAAGTGTGTATATATTGTTTCTCTCTTTCATATATATTTTGTATATCTACAAATACCAATATATATCGTATATTAGTAAGAAAAATATAATACTTGGTATATTTATATAAAGAGTTGTAGCAGTTTTAGTAGGTATTGAATACACTTCCAACTACAACTGCATGGCAGCTGACCTCATGCTTGTGTCTCAGGCAGGAGCTGAGTACCTGAGACTGGATCAGGAGAAGGCATAGGGCTGGGACAAACTACAGGAAGAAATGCTGGGCCACTGACCTGGCTGCAGCTGGGCAGCATGACCCATCACCCATGGCCGTGGGGGTAGTGGAGCCTGGCACCCAGAATCCTCACCATGGAGAAGGGGCTGGAACCCTCTTGTCTGCAACCAGGAACCACTGTGTCTCTGGGAATACAGCTTTCCCCATTCCTGAGGGCTCTTCCCCAAAGTCTATTTTTTTTTCCTGTTTGAAATCTGTGACATGGGGACTTTGCAATGGTACCAGCAGCAGTTTCAGCTGCGGAGTTGGAAACAGGTCTCTGGCTGGACAGTGAGAGGGTACCTGCTGCTGGCCCTTAGTTCCTTAGTTTGAGCATTTCTGCCATTTGTCACACAGGCTAAAATGGGAAAGCTGCATTTTATCTTACTAGCTGGGCCTGTGCAGTGCACAAGAATGCAGCCCATGGTGGAACTGGGTAACCATGTGCTTGGCTGTTAATGGCCACTCCAACTGGTTTAGTCAAACATATGTCCTATGTCATCTGTCTACCTATATATGTATTTACATGCAAATAAATATATGTGTGTACATTATATATATATTGTACTTGTAGCATTTATGTACATGCACATATTAAAAGAAAAAAAACGCCTTTTGCTCTTGCTAGGTTGGGAAAGTGCTTTGAACTTGTGCAGAAGATGCAGCTGCCAGTGGCTCCAGGCTTTACATCTTTTCTAATGTGTGTTGCTTGTTCCAGGCAGCAGCTGAGCCCACAGCCTCTGTGCACATTTTGATGAAGAAATCCCCTCTGTACATGAGCAGTAGCCCAGATCAGCCTTCTCTGATGGATGGCAAACACTGGAAGAACCCTGAAGGAAACTTAGCATGTGGTTTGTCTTGCTGTTTAAGTGAGGTACAAGTAGCACCCTTTGTCCCTGATTCGTGTATTTATTACTGTGCCTATTTTTTATTATTGTACTTAAAATACACACTACTAGTAACAAATTGAAACAGCTGCTTTGCAAATCAACAAACAAACCTTCTAACATTCAGCATATAATATGCATATGTTTGGGGTTTTTTCAGCAAAGTTAAAATAGCAGAAAGGGAGAAGAGTTGTGATCCGGTTGCTGAGGTGGTATAAATCAGAGCCAGGGCACTAAGGTGAGTAGGCTGAAAACAAGTGATGTTCTGCTGTGTTTGAAGCAACGGTTACCACATCAGAACACAGACTTAATAGCCAAAGCTTCCACACAGCTCCCCAGCCAAAGCCCCGTTTCTGGGTGGATTGTTACAGATGCTTTCCAGACTTCAGCCCAAGCAGACTAACTCTAGCGTTAACCCAAGTGGTACACAGCCAGAGGGGTGCAGTGAGGGAACGTCCCTAACCCTTAACCTCGCCTTGGATTTAGGGTTTTTCGGATTGCTGCCATGAGGCTGCAGAAGGCTTAGCCCCAAAGGCACCACCTGGGACATGCTCCTGTGCCCTCAGCATTGCTCCCGCTGTGATGGAGGTGCTGAATGTGAGCTGAATGTGCTTTGCCTGGCCTTCACCTTGAGGCCTGGCCTGTGGCTGATAAGGGTGGGCCTTGCCGTAGTGAAAACCCACTGAGTTGCAGCATAGAGCAAGTGTTACCCCTCAAACACAACCCCCTGCTGCAATAGGCCTTCAGCTCATACAGAGGAAAGCTGCTCAGTGAGGGATACATAAACCCCCTCCAGCCTTGGAGAACAGCAGTAGGGCTGCAGGCAGCCAGACTGGCCAGCATCCCAACAGCACACTTCATCCCCAGACAGCTACAGGCAGCCCCCAGCACCCATGTGGAGCAGGAGAGAGGGCAGCGAAATCCCTCAGAGATGGGTGGAGGAACATCGGTGCCACTTCATGTATCACTCCAACTGCATGTGCACACCACACTTGAGAACAAACCACACCACCCCCTGGAGACAAACCCCACTACTCAAACCTGAACAGAACAGGTGCATGCTGCACCCTTGGGATACAAACCACAGCATGACAGAAGGGAGACAGGACCTGGCTGCTGCTCATGCAGGTGAGTCACAAAGTGGTGTGTGCCCTTCAACACCTCTGCTTGCTACTCAGAACAGACTTCCACCACAACACACCTGTGAGTATGCAATACTCCTGTGTGCCTACACCTGACCATCCACATGTATTGCAGAACTGCACCACAAACACTCCGATATTGTACTTATGCTCCACAACAGTTGCTGCATCCACAAAACACAACTGCAGGACACACTGCACTTCTATAAGACCATACGTTTGCCACATACCTGTAACATACCAAACATTACACCCCACATATATAATGCTGCACACACAACCCCATGCTGCTGCACACCCATGACACTACACCCATGCTTGTAGACATGACACCACAAATGTGTGCTGCATACCACATATGACACTGCACACACAACGCATCCCACAGGACATTCCATGGGTATACGCCAACATACACTGCTCATGATACAAACCGCATCACACAATACCACTTCCTGACCACACGCAACATGGCTACCTATGATGCACTGTATGTGCTCACTGCACACTCACCACCATACATACCTACATGCAGCACCATGTACGTCCTCCCCTTGTTTCTATCCTTGTCATGTTCCCATCCACAGGTACTTACTGTGTGAGGAAGATGCTGTCCCATAATACAAGCTCAATAAAGTCTTGCAACATTAATCACAGTGGGTTTGTTTGTTTGCTTTTTTAAGACATGTTTGTTTTATTACATTGGACGTGTTACAGCAGAACAGATATTCTTAACAACATTGTACAGCCACTCTTAGTCCATTCCCTGACAGCAGCCCCCACTGTACACCAGGGGATGTTTTTGCAGTTCTGGTTTCCCATCTGCCTGCTTTCTCACACTGGTGGTAGAGACAGGAAGCAAAACCAAAGCACACCCCCCCCTTGGCAGTAGAGCTGAGGGTGAAGGCAGCATCCATCCAGCTTCACTCAAAGTAGGCCTTTCTTCCACCCACCACCTTTAACAACACATCCAAATAGCAACAATAGCATCTCTTTGCCCATCTCAGTCTTTTACCTTCCCAAGGCAATTTTCCCTGTGACCCTCAGCAGCGCCAACGTGCTTTTGAGCATCACTTGAGGCACTACTATAGGTGGTAACAGCATGTAAGCAAGCCCCGTACGGCTCTAATGATACAGCTGGACAGCACAGCAGTAGAACACTGTAGAAGTTGGCGAATGACACTCATTCCTCCAAAACTATTTCATAACTTCGTAACAGTGGTTAATTTCAGTGACCCAACACAGCTGCTCTGCTTCTCTTGTTTGAAGAAAATAACCCAACCCAACAAAACCCGTAAGCTTTTATTGCCTTAGCATTACATGCAGAGTACAGCACCCATGCCTGTGCAATCTGGGTTTTAGCTTGGATGACTTGGATCACAGCTCTCTGGTCAGAGCTTCATTTTATTCGCCAACTGTGTGTCCTCCTTCCCAAGTAAAGCATTTCATTTAAGCAATCTGGCTATCAACTCACCCTCTTGCCTCTTTTGGGAGAACTGGATACACACTCCAACACCCTCAGGTAACCTAAGTAAGTCCATCATACCCATTCTGGTCCATAAAAACGTATGTTAAGCAGTTTCTAAACGAGCTACTACATTAGTTGTGTTCTTAGAATCATTCATCAGATTACTCACAAATGAACATCCCTTCCCCCTCCTGGCACCCACTTTTTATTTCCCCTCCACTCCCTCATTTATTTAGTTATTCAGAGCCAGGTGAGCACACTCTTCCCCTCTGGCGCACTGACCAGCAGTCATGCACCACAAGTAGCTCACTCACAGCTTGAGGCCATCAGAACTGCACATCTGTGAGAGCCCGTGGCGGGGGGGGGACGGGACAACAACATTACCTGCAGAATTTATGAAACCTGGACGCATTGAACAACTCAGAATTGTCACACAACGAGTACAACTTCCACTGCATAACACTACTGCCAACTATATCCCCCCAGGAACTGTGACCACTTTAATGAGCAGTAGTGGGTAATTTCTCCCAGCCCATGTTGAAGGGCAAAAGACACCTTGGATCCTTTGTTATACCTGAAAAAGAACAAAAAACAGAAAAAGTTTGCAAATGCAGTGGGTTTCTACAGTTCTTACCAGAAACATCTTTAAATTTTATTCAGACTTTTCATGCTACCACAGATTTGTTAGCAGTTGTTACAGCTGCAGTCTAACATAGATATTACAGGATAACGCCACCCCATGGTGCCACGGAGTCAAAACATCTGCTGAGCTACCACCACCACAGCTGAAGTACAAAAGATTGACTCTATCACCTCTAACCTCGAGTTTAATGCATCTTAAAAGCAAATTTCCATGTTACATATATTCTGACACCTACCGTCTAAGGTGTATAATACTTAACATTTAAGCACTATGCACAAGACCAGAGTCACAGAAACGGAATAAAAGCAACTTCAGAGGTCATCTGGTTCTTCCCACCATTATTTTGCAGTGCAGATAACATCTACAACAGGCCCACAGATGTATGGGCATCCATACCTGACCCACGCTTGCCAGCTATATAATGCACACTACAGAGCCCCTTGCTCAGTCTGTACATAAAGTACTGCTAGGCAACCTTACTTCTAGGGCAATCTGTGGTATTGTCTAAACTTACTGCTTTTCTTTGGCAGCTGTACTTCAGCTTTCGTTGTCTTCTGATTGAGGTTAAGCAGATAATTCCTCGTATTGCCTTCCTTGGGTGTCATGTTTTCTAGATGCAGTTCTGGGTTTATCTCCAGTGATACAGAGAAAGAAGCATTCTCCCCCATCTTAGCTTAATGGTCAGAAGAGTCAAGAAACAAGTCCCTCTGGAGTCAGTGATTTTTATCCTGTGACCTGGGAGACATCATTTGCATTACAGCTTGGATGATATTTCTGGAGAAACACATGAAATATTAATTATGGGAGCCCGGGCCTGTGGAGAGCATTCCTGTGTATCACTGACTCTCACCAAGGGCTTTACACAAGTGTTTTGAACACAGCCATGTTAGACTGATCAAGTCCAAACTTACAACTGTACAGAGCATTAGACTTACCTAGAAGCATCCCTTCAGGAGGATGACAGACTTCATCCAATAAAGCCTAAGGTGCACGCAGGAAACAAGTATACTTTCTGGGTACTCAGGAGGTTAAATATTTAGCTGTGCTTTTTGTAGAAACTTGAAGGTTTTCCTGCTGCTTAACATGTTCCTGTGACATTTTGATCAGTTGCTTACCTGTCACAATGGATGTATTGTGTCTGGATGTATTGCTCTAATCATTAGATTAGCACAGGTTTATTCCCACTTCTATCTGGCATACAGTCATTTGTCCCTAACCTCAAAGATGAGAGGGCAAAAAGAAAGTGACCCATTGACCTCATTACCATGTCAGTCATCCTCAGACAATGAGGTTTGTATGTCAATTACACCACACACATACAGCCTGTGTTAAACTGGGGTTTAACACACACCATTTTCCAGGGTTTTACAGAAGTTTCATCAGTCACTTCATAGAAGTACCATTTACCTGGGCTTGGGTCCATGGTCTGAGACCACTTAGTCCAGCACTCTGCACAGGATGGTTACAGCTAATAAGGGTTCTTTTGCTAAACTAGGAATAGCTTTGAACCAGCTGCCTTCACTAAAAGGCAGGCCACAAAAAACTTATTTTGCCCTCTTCTTCCCCTGCATGTAGATACGTAATATGTTCAGGAGACTCTGAATATTTGAAATGAGAGATAGTAATTTGTCTTTATGGGCTGCATCAAATGGTGGATTTGAAACAGTTGGAAGTATAGAGGGCAAGGGTAGGAACAAGGAAACTTAGTTTGCTTCCTTGGTAACAAAATCTACAGCACAGCAGGAGAACAGAGCATGATAATTAGGGAATTACAGCTGTTAGTCACAGAAAATATGCTGCAGTTGCAGGTCACAGACCTGAGGTTGTGGCACAGGAAGGAAAAGTGTAATTTAGAGTCTGCAAGGAACTCACTGCATGCATTAGACTTCTTGCTACTTATAGCATCTCTACACCTGTTTTTCAGGGCGGAAATCAAACAGACAAGAACACAGATCAGCAACAAGCACCAAGAAAATAGTTCCTCCACAGGAGTCGAGAGAAGAACTATTTTAATTGGAAAAAACGGCTATTCCATCAGCTTATTCACTGCCCCTCCTCCTTTGTTGGAAATTCTTTCTAATCAGGACAATCAGAAGCATGAACTTAAAGATGGAGAGGACAAAACATGATCCAGGCAGTTATTCTGGTAGATAGCAGCTCCCATAAGAAGCACCAGTTGTTACAAGGGATGTATAATGCAAATCCCTTTGAAACAGGGCTTGGCTTGAAGACATTTGTATATTAAGCCAGAGCCTTACATCAGTTTCCTGCAAGTGGTAGCTGTTCCTGAAGGGAACTTTATGAAGGACATAGAGAGAAATACAAGCCTGAGACTAAAGACAATAGCACTAAACAGACTTCACCTTGCAAAAAAGGAGAAAATAAATAAAAATAAAAGGCAAACTCCAGTCAAAGGGACGCAAGAACAAACCCAACAGGTACTGCAACTGAATCATTAAAGCACCTCTGATAATAGTTCGGCCAAAAGCCATTTAAAGGAGAGAACCTGTTGGTATAGTTTATGACTAAGACACTCGCCAAGCACCTTCTGTGAAATCCTATGCACCTCCTCTTCTTCCAGTGGGAGCTGGTCCCATCCCAGAGGACCAGGACACTCCATAGCTGCACACACCAGGAACCTCCACCTGACTTCAGCTGTCCCCAGAGCCGGGCAAGAGGCTGTCATGACTTGTGGAGGTGCATTTTTATCTGGACAGAGTCCTCATCATATTCCAAGTGAAGTTACATGCAAACCATGTCCAAAGCAACTTGAAAGCTGGACTCCCATTTCAGTTGAGAAAGAGTAACTTTTCCAGACCCTGAAGGATGTTAAGTTTTAATATTCTTTCAGCGAGTTAAGCAAATTCATAGAAGATAAAACACATTCACACTGCACTGATATGCATGACTCTTGGAAAAGCTGATCTATTAAACTTGTGTGCTTTACTATAACCTTTGATCCAGGATTTATCCTCCATACGGAGTTCCTCATTGCCATTCCACTCAAGAGGGGAATTTTTATTCGTTTACTTCTCCAAATCTCCTCCACCCTTTGTTCTGGTCATGTTTGGGTTTATTTATTATATTTGGTTATATTTTTTAGATAATCTTCCTTTACTAAAACTTTAGCGCATGTGGAAAAGCATCTTTCTAACTTTTCTGTCCTTAAATCAAGTTGCTTCAGAGCCAGAGCTGACTCCTACAGATGAGAACTGAACATACGCTAACTTGAGGGAAACTAAACTTGCTGAGGAACAGAAGAAACATCCACCATATCCTGAGGCTCACCAAAAGCTGACAGCCTCTTTTCAGACCTGCCCTTGTACAGCCTGACCACACAGCTCAGATTCAAAGGAGAAATACCTCAGGCCATGAGGCTCAAAGCTCTCCATAGAGCATAACTTGCTCATTCAAATGTTAACACGTAAGACTTTCAGCATTTGCTCGCTGTACTAGCTACCAGCTTTGCATCTCAACTAAGCCAAACTCATTCTTTCCATGGTAGAGCAGCTATTAATAACTTCCTATTGCCCAGCCCAGCCTGCTAACCAGTAGCCAGGCCTCCCCACTTCTCCTTGAAGGCTGGAAGCATGCCAGCCAGATCAACTAATTCAAACTATTTTGGGCAGGAAGGCATTTCAGTGTTCTAGACCCTCAGGATGCCCTAAGCCAGGCTGTTTCAAGGTGATACTCCAGGAATGCCCTCACTGCTCTCAGTTGTGCAAGGTGTCACACAGAGGTGAGAAACCCCCATGGGCTCTGGGGTAAAAAAAGTTCCTCACTACTCTGCCAGCTGCCTGATGTCATGGTTTTCTGACCTTGTGAGCTATGACGACAATTGGCAAGTGCTTACCCTCAACCAAAGAGCTAGAATACTTTCATTCTCCTTGGTGAGTTGCTCAGCCTAGGACCTGTGCCTCACTCAGAGTTAGCTGTCACAGATGGTTTACTCACCTGAGGACTGGGAGTTATGTCATATGTTTGATGGAGACTCTTCCTTCCCTGTTTCTGGTTATTATCAGAGGTGAGTTGGGTCTCAATCTCTACTCAAAAAAAACCCTTTATTCTCCACCTTACTGATATCCAGCACCCCAAAGAAGAGGCACTGCTGCCATCTGGGACAGACTTCCTTACGTTATGAACAAACAGCAGCTGAGTTGTACCTTGGTCCCATCACTTTTTCACAGAGCTACTTAACCATAATAATGTGATGTTTAAAACCTTGAGAGGAAGGCTGTAATTTGCATTTTAGAGTCCCATGCAGTGACTTGCCTGAGATGTACCTACATGTGGCTACACCCAGCAGTTGTTCTGCTGGTACATGTGCAGCCATTTCTTTGGGGAAGACAAGGATTCACTAGGCCTTGGTGAAACACAGCCAATGCACCTCAGTAAAGTTTTGAGTCCGTCCCGATAGTGCCAAGTGCTTGATGCCATTTTTAGCAAGCAGAATAACTAAGTATTTAAGGACAGATTCTTCCCCAAATAGACGAGAGGAGCCAATCAGCAGCTGTTTCTCTGGAAAGATTTTGCCAGCATTACAAATACTCCATATGGAAGCAAAAAGATGCTAGTTCTGAGCAATAAATGCATGTCAGATGACACTACCACTAAATATACCTGGTGACTGTTAGCACAATTGTTCTGCTTACAGTCCGAAGCCCCTCTTTGATGTGGGCAGCAAGGACATCTTAAATGAAAAAGCCTGAAGATGAACTTAATTTAATCACTGAGTGTGAAGAGGGGGGGCAGGGAAGAAGGAAAGAGAACCAATATTAAGTGTGGAAATTAATACAAAAAGCTGCTGGGATATTAATAGTGTGCTGAACTAATAAGATGCAGTCAAAGCGATGAAGTTTCTGTAACACTGCAGCAGCTGCTACTGTGAAGTAAGAGACTAGAGTAGATCTGTGTATTTACAGCAGTTATCTGAAAGCCTGGGCATGTAATTCCACTCAGTATCCCCACCAACACAAACACATTAAAAGCAAACTCAAAAAGCTCCTGTAAACCCACTAAGCACAACAGCTAAAGTTTCCACAAAAAATAATTCATAGCACTACAGTTATTCGCACATAGATGGGCTAAGAGCCTTACAGGAACAAACATGGAGCAGAAGCTCTTGATCACTAGGCTGTAACTGCAGCAGCCCAAGTGCCTTCCAGCCCTCTTGATGGCTTAAAAAGCCTTCTAGGACATGAACTTTTAACATAAATGTAAGTCTGCCCCACAGAAGTTATGCTAGACAGGGAAAAATTGATTTGTCTATTATGAGATGAGGCAAGGCATCCATTTCCTCCAAGAGTTTAATTCTGGAGACAAAAAGCCCCTGTCAGCCAAGCTCTCAGCCCTGCTTCAGCTGCCTCAAGAACTGGGAAGCTAGCAATGCCTGCACCATTCAAGGGTTACAACCAACCACATGGAGAAGGAATACCAAGGCCCAACTTCACATGTCTTAAGGGAAAGCAAGCGCTCCTTTGGAAACACTATCTTCATGCCGTTTCTGGCAGAGAAAGGACAGCCATAGGAGGTCAAGAATACAGGCCCAGCACAGACTGCTGAACTAACAACAAGCAATGCCACTTACCAAGTCTTTGAAGGGTTGGCGCTGTAAGCAATTCCTTTGAGTTAGTTCTGTCCTAATGCTTTTGTTTTCGAGACAGCGAGGATTTGCAGCATAAGGCAGTTTGCACAACTTCTGCTCAGCTCTTGCTCTTGCCCAGACAGACTCACTG